TTTTCTGATTAAGAATGAATGCCCCCTGGTAAATATAAATATTCTAAAATTCAAAAACAAAAACAAACCAAAACACCCTAAAATCCAAAAGACTTCTGGTCTCAAGCACTTCAGATAAAGGATACTCATCCTGTAATACAAATTTTAACAGGAAAAAGACGATGGGCTAATTCCACCATCAAAAAAGCCTTTCCTCCCAAGCTGTGGAAATTTTCTGAGGAAAAGGGTATGAGGTTAAAATTATTATATAAAACAAAGAAATCACCATCAAGAACATGCATACATATACAAGAAGGAAAAGTAAGCAACAAGGTTTAAGGCTGCAGTTACTTTAATCAGTAACAGTTCTTAAATGGAACATATCCACCTATGTAATGTTGGCCCATTATTAGAAAAGGTATAAAAATTTGTAAAAGGAAAAGATAACTACTTATCAACACATTCTTTAGTAATGAACTACTGTTGCACAAGCACCTCCTTCTCAATTTATAGACTACAATTCAAAGTTAATAGTCTATCTTGTTTCATAATCATCTTTATTTTCTCTATCACTTAATTCACCCATAGGAGTCTTCTGCTGCCATTGATGCTGATGCCCTACCATCTGATAGTCCATAGGTCTGACAGTACCGATAGATCTGATGAAAAATATAACATCAGCTCCTGTAGAGTATATTTCATCACTGTCATCCAAATGGCACATGTACTATAAAAGCCAAAGAGGCAACAAGTTTGAGTTCTGCAGATTCAAAGAAGTTCTTGATTGATGTTACTGTAATAATGTGATAAATGCTGGTTTATTTCAGAAACTGAATATGCTTTAACATTACATTTAGTCCTGTATTTATAAGCTTATAGTGGTCTAAAAAGAAAAGCCACTTAAATTTTCCACTTTTCTATCTATCAGAGTAAATTCAGTCCTATCATCCAGTGACTTTAAATTATTTTTTACTAATATGTCCAGTGAGAAATACTTTGGATATACATTCCTGCACAAACTGTTACTATCTTTATTATGCCAGATTCTATGATATGTTATATTCTATTTTTTTTTTTTTTTTTTTTTTGGAGACAGGGTCTCACTCTGTCACCCAGGCTAGAGTGCAGTGGTGTGATCCTAACTCACTGCAGCCCCGACGTCACAGGCTTAAATGGTCCTCCCACTTCAACCTCCTGAATAGCTGGGACTTACAGGCACATGCTTTCACACAGGCTAATTTTTGTATTTTTTGTAGAGATGGGGTTTCGTCATGTTGCCCAGGATGGTCTTGAATTCCTGGGTTCAAGCAATCCTCCTACCTTGGCCTCCCAACGGGCTGGGATTACAGGAGTGAGTCTCGATGCCCAGTCTAACTTTTTAATAGTCTGAAAAACAGAGCTAGGCATTTTTCAGACTATTAAAAATAGCCTGGGATTACAGGTGGTGGCACCCATCTCTAATCCCAGCTACTTGAGAGGCTAAGGCACGAAGATTGCTTGAGCCCAGGTGTTGAAAACCAGCCTGGGCAACATAGGGAGAGCCCTATCTCAAAAAAAAAAAAAAAAAAAAAAAAGTTTGAATACCAGTTATGTTAACAAGAACGGTCAATGGGCTTCATCTTTAGTGCTAAATGTAATTAATAGGTAATGGCTATATATTGTGCTATGTACAGTCCATTAGGATACTTAACATTTGCCATGGCACTAAGAAAAAGCAATGGTACTAACATCTGCCATGATACTGAGAGGAAATGATGCCAGGTTATGATATTATAATTACGCAGTTAAAAACCATTCTTCGAATCAAATCATGAGTTCCTTAAGAAAAGAGAATCTTAGTTTAATACAAAATAGGCAGTCACATATTTACTGAATGGTAGCTCTATTTAATGTAGATCCTATTTTCTATCAAGTAGATGATTAAAAGTTAATCTTCCCGTAAAGAGCAAATGCATATTTGTTGCAAGAATGATTGGGACTTGCAGAGGTAGAAAACTTCATTTGAGATATTTGGAAAAGCTAATATAAAGGCAGTAGTTATAGAATTGTTTAAAAAAGGAGTCAGTATAAAAAACAGAAGTCATCTTTCAAATACAGACCAGACTCTCAGTCTCGTTAAATGGACCATATAAGAAAATTTTGAAAAAAAATAACAAAGACTTCCTTTGAATGTTGACAATGTATCCAATGTCAAGCCAAATAGTACTGTCCTGTATCACAGATTCTCCATCGATAAAACTGTTAAAACTATTCAACTTGATAATACCTTCAATCTTTCGTGTAAAATAAAATATTAAAATGAAACATAAACCCCTAAAATCTTTATCAATTCTGCAATTAAATATAAACTTACTTTCAAATATAAGTCAGGAGAGGCCAGTGTTTATTGCTGAAATTAGGTATGTGGCTATTTAATCAACAGTTCTCAAGGAGGGGAGAAGGACATGTCCCTATCACCAGGAAAGCATATGCAACTACACTCCCTACCCCACCCTCCAATTCAATATGTCCTCTTGGGATTCATGGGCAGGTAAGAACAGGGAGTGGAGAGGGATAAAACATTTATCTCATATGATTAAGAAACAGCTGCTTCTCCTCCAATCTGTGCCCTTTAAGAACCACTAGGCTAAATACACGTACTCAAACTTACAGATCTGAAACTCTAATCGCACACAGAGAAAACAAAGCTGAGAGTTGGGAAATCTGAGTTCTCATTTTGTCCTTACCCGTCCAATGAGAAACAAAATTACTTCTCTGTGCCTCAATGAGAAAATTAGTATTGTATTAAAAATAAGTCATATATAACATCACAGAATTGTTCTAAAGATAAAATAAAATGTGAAGCACAAACATATCTTTAAAATGTCCCACAAATGAATAAGAAATTATCATTATTCAAACTTGGGCTTCATTTAAATATAAAAGCATAGAATAATTTGAATTGGTTCACAGTTTGACCTTGGGGCATACGAGACAAGACCCAGAGCCATACGGGGGGAAAAAAAAGGATTCCTTGGACCTTGCCTAATCCATATCATCCTACCCCAAAAGTCTGGCCAAAATCAAACCTGGCTTGAGTTTTAAAACAGACTCTTATTAATTCTTCTGAATATTAAACCTCACCAGAAAAATAAGTAATTAATGAGATTCTTAGAAACTGAAATACTCAGGGCTGCGGTGGCTCACACCTGTAATCCCAGCACTTCGGGAGGCCAAGGCAGGTGGATCACCTTAAGTCAGGAGTTCAAGACCAGCCTGGCCAACATGGTGAATCCCCATCTCCTCTAAAAATTAGCCCGATGTGGTGGCAGGCGCCTGTAATCCCAGCTACTACTAGGGAGACTGAGGCTGGAGAATCACTTGAACCCAGGAGGCGGCGGTTGCAGTGAGCCGAGATTGTGCCACTGCACTCCAGCCTGGGTGACAGAGCAAGAGAAAGACTCTTATCCTTTTAAAAAGAAGTCAGAATTTCCAATTCCCTATTGCATAGCCTACAGTGCACTCAAGTTCATACGGTGCCTGGCCCACAACGAATGTCATACAGGTCTCTCTTGAACGGCAGTGATTGATTCCCTTATTTCTCACATCTTTCACGCTATCTTTGTATGCTTATACGGAGGCTAACATGTTTGTGTTCGTTAAGGATACTAAAAGTTAAAATGCAAATAGCAGCTAAAAAGACAACTAAATTCTGCACACCCTACTTTATTAGGCTTATTAGCCACTCGCACTATGGACTCTCAGACCCAACCATAAACTGCTTATTTATAAATAACAATCACATTATAGCCCAAATGTTCAATGAAAAACATTAATTCTAAATCCAGAATAATGTACAAAAAAGCAGAAAGAGGAATAAAGACATTATTTTTGTGGAGGAGCTAGAAACTGTTAAGTCTAATCAATAACATTCCTAACACTTCCAACTTGTAGCCCTATCACATTTAATAACACCAACTCAGACCATCTTCAACCCTGATCTAAATCAACTTTCCTCATTATGACTGTGCAAGCAGCCAACTTCCTACATGACTAATATTTGATCAACAATTTCCTCAAGAGAAAAAGCACAAAACACTACCAGTTCTTAACCAGCTAACAGCAATTACTTCTCATAATCCGACCAACATCTAAAACTCAAAAATTCCAAAACTCTCAAGGAAGACAATCGATCCGACCTTTCACGTAATGACTAACCCCTCTACCCCAAATGTTATGACTAAATACTACTCTATCATTCAAGATGCCAACTATGATGACAAAATGTCGATACCTAGCATTTCTCAAGTCAGAAGTTCCAGTATACTGTTATCCAGTAAGGACAATTACATCTGACACGGGGATGTTATTTAACAAATGTGGTTCTCTCTTTTCAAGACACTTAGCGGAGAAGTGAAAAATCTGTTAACAGACTTTGACTACAGCGGTCTCAACAGCAGATTCCTAAGTGGCCCATCCTCAGAAATGGAAGAGATATTCACACATACATACGATGGGTACTTATTATTAAAAAAAAAAAAATGTGTAAGACATCCATGCTTATGTTTACAGCAACATCTACCATACTTCGAATAAACAAATAATGACCAACTGCATCCCTCTGCATTCCAGGAAGCTTAGTCCTCTCCACTGTCATATTTAATTCATCTCAGTAAGTACTACTGATTGGGTGCTCAGTTCATCAGAGTCAAAAAATTTTTAAGACCCAACGTCTTTGCCCAACTTTGTTATCCAAAACCATTTATTATTTGACCTTCCACCTTCTATTCCCTAAACTCTCTTCACTTCCTCCTCAGCAACACTTATTATCCCCACCCTGCCCGGACACTCCAACATTCCTCCACCCCACAAACCAGGAGCTTGAATGCCTGCAAACGCTCGAATCCCTCTACAAACACCACCACAGCACCAGTATCCCAAGCCCTCCAACAAGTCATCCCCACACCGGACCCCCCGCCCCCGAGCAGAGGTGGCAGGAACTCATAATTTAAGGACAAGGAGGCAATGCTCTTCAAACCCACCATACGAAGTCGTTGCTTTTGTCCTCGTAGGAGTTGATGAGCCCGTTGCAGAGGGGGGCGAGCAGAGGTCGCTTCCTGCTGCCGCTGCCTAGGCTGGAGCTGCTGCCTCCTACGCCGGCACTGGGCCTGGCCGCGCAGCTGTGCCGGGACAGGCCCGTGGACACCGCCCCACCGCCACTGCCCGACACGGCGGGCGCCACCAACACAGGCCGCACCGAGCCCCCGAGGCCGCCCGAGCCGGCGGCCTGGGCCGCCCCACCCGACACCGGCGCCGCCGCCGAAGCCGCCACGGAAGGCGGCGACGGGGAAGAGGATAAGGACGAAGAGGCGGAAGTCACCGAGGAGGCCGCCGAGGAGCCGGCGCTTGTCCCAGCGGAGCCCGACCCGGCCTGGCGGCTTCCAGACATCGTGACTCCCTCCCCTCCGGCCGGGCGGGGCGCTCGGAGGAGAGGGACCGCGACCTCGACCCTCCGCCGCCTCCCCTCCCCTCAGCCCCAGTGCATCTTGAGGACGCCCGCCGCGCCGGGAGGTGGGGCTGAGGAACAATAAAGTTGCGTTTTTTTAAGGCAGCCACACCACGGCGTCGGACGGGAGGGGGCGGAGGAACTAAAAAGGGGAGTAGAAGGAACCACGGCTGTCCAGGCCGCCGCCGCCGCCGCCGCGGTCCCCGCCGCAACCAACCCCGGCGCGCTGTGGCTGATCGTGCGCGCGCGCGAGCGGCGGAAGGGGCGGGCGCGGCGGGGGATACAACTGTGGACGCAACTGGGCTGTGCTAAGACACCCACGGCGCGGAGAGAGATCCAAGATGGCTGATCACTAGCAGCTCGGGATTGCAGCTCCCACTGAAAGAGCAGAGAACGAGAGGATGCCACACTTTCAGATCAATTTTTGTTGCTCACGCACCAGGAGATTCCCAGCGGAGGAGCCCCACGTGTCGCCAGCGTGACTCTTGAGGCCGGTGAAGCAGTTTTGCCGCTGCCTTGGTGCGGCGGTTCTTGGTGCAGAGTCAGAAAAGCACCATCAATCTTAAAGCCGCTGTTTTGGCCGGTGCAGTGGGTTGCTCAGATTCTAGCGCCGGGAATCAACAAGTTGGACGTCCATTCAGAAACCCAACTATAAAGACGGTAATTATAAAGACAACAGATGGATAAATCTATAAAGAAGAGAAGAAAACAGCCTAAAAAGGCTGAGAATACCCAAAATCAGAATGCCTCTCCCTCTACAGGGGATCACAGTTCCTCATCAGAAACAGAACAAGGCCTGATGGAGAAAGACTGTGTTCTATTAGCAGAAGCTGGCTTTAAAAAGTGGATGATAAGAAACTTCTGGGAATTAAAAGAACTTGTTCTAACCCA